TAGACCGAACTCCTTTTAACATGATGACATATGAATATTATATAATTAATTGATACAGATTAATGGTTGGTACTGACTAGGAACACTGGTTTTAAAATGATAATACTTACATTAATTCATTCTCCAACAGCGATGATATTGACTCAATCTTTCATGATTACACTCATTATTATTAATCGAGGGAAATATGGAGGTATACATTACAACACATTATTATTATTATTATTATTATTATTCTTATTATTATTATTATTATTATTATTATGCATTATTTTTTCAGCTTTGGAGAAGCACCCAAATGTCACTGGTGTAGAGTTGCAGGACAGGGTCAGAGCCATTGCCTTCAGGGTCAAAGATATACAATTACTTAAGTATCGTGGGACTTATGACTGATATTTCCCTCTGTCTGAAAATTTATGATTTTTTATTACTTACTTATTTTATTATTTATTGTGACAATTTTATTATTTCACAATAGTGTATGTCATTAAATAAAATCTAGTAATTAATAGGACATTTGTTGTGGATGTAGAACTGATGTGTTTGTATGTGAGAAAATGCTTTCAATAACAGACAGATCTGTCACCTACTTGTTTCAATATCTTCAATGATCTTTAGTGTTAGTAATAATAATCTTACTGGAGTATGTAATGGCAGGCACAGGCTGTGGTTTTGGAGAAGCATATAAATGTCACTGGTATACAGTTGCAGGACAACCACACATCTCAGATGTCTGAAATAAAATTGAGGCTGAGCGCCATTCCATAAAAGCTGAGGAGGGATTACATATCGCCTTGGAATGGAGCAGATGAACAGTTGCCATGTAGGCTGGGATAAGACCCAAAATAAGTCCGGTGCCAATAAACAAGATGTTAGAGATTCCAGAACTGTAATAGTACAATGAATCAAAAGTGTATCCAGGATCAGTGTAACATTAAAGTTGAATGTATAATAAGCATGAAAAAATAAATAGATTTTGACTTCTTCCCAATGACTTTGAAGCATGTTTTAATCTGGATTGTTTTTTGATTTGTGTATTGCCCTTTTATATTTACCTAACCTTCTATCTTCAAAAAAGGAGATGACCTTGGGGAATGTCACCCATGTGACCTAAACAGATAGGTGGCCTATTGTGCACATGTGTTGCTTAAAAGCTATTCAAGTAGGGTCAAAAGTCTTCAGTTTTTTTCAGCTAACCTGAATAGCATGTGTCAAACATGGTATTCAAATAAGGTCAGAGGTCTTCAGTCGTTTTTTTAGCCAGCTTGTTTGACGGAAGCCTTGGTGTGCTTGTGCTATTTTTGCACAACAGAAGAAGATGATTTTGTTTTGTACTATTTCTCAGCCTTCATGTATCATACGAGCTTGTCATTACATTTAGCAAATTGTTCATTTTCTAAGGCTAAAAGTATGTTACAGGTGTTATGTATGGCTATGTGCTGTGTCACCTTGAATAAAGAGCATACTGTGCACACAGGGCCCATTAGTTTACTGTCTCATCTGTGGTGAGTAAATGCACCAGTGGATTTGAGTTGAATTGAAACCCTTTTGTAGTAGTCAACTTAACCAGTGACATCCCACACTATGTTTGCCTTTTAATTAGTGCAGTTGTACCCGAAAAGAAAAATCTAGGATACATTGATGTCTATGTTAATGTTGGGCTTCAGGATGATACAGTAGTTATACAATTATTAAAATGGAAAGGACAGAATTATATAATTTGTCAATTATTAATTAAAAAAAATTTACCATGCAGAGTTGATTCAGTTACACCACTGTGACTGCCACCATCATGGTGCTATATTAAATTTAGCTATAGTTTAATGCTGAGCTTTACTTTCTGGGATACCTTCAGCTTTCCTGTAATTACAGTGCCTACATATTCATGATTGCACAATTTGTGTTGCAAATAAGATGTTATACACCAATCACTGCATATTGTTTTTCTAATACATCTAAAATTAAAATTCAGCATGTACAGAGTACAGAGTGCATTTGAGGTTTTTGGGTGTTTTTACTGTAATGAGTAAAAGCCCAAACTTATTTTGCATTATGTGGTATTGCGGCAAGTGAAAGGATCAGCACTAGAAGGTGGACTCAAATCGGGACCGATTGTCCCAACTGACCTTCTCCTTTGTATGTCCTTGAGTCACGTAGATTCTTATAGATAAGCCTCTGCACTAAGCTCTTGAACTGAAATATAACATGCCAAATACGCCTGACAAGGAGGAGCCTGCGAAGGTATAAAATATGTGTGTCTCCTCCATGACTGCGTAGTAACACTGAGAGAACCAAAGGTGGTGTGGGTTAAGCTCTATATCTTTAATTGTTTGATTTAGTTTTCTTTGTTTAATGCTTTCAGAATTAAGAGCACAGACAGGATAGGTGAGGATATCCAGTCTGCTTATTTTTTTAAGGTTGAGTTTTCAGGATTTATGCAGTTGACAACTAGCTTGACAGTCTAACATGAAATGCAATAATTTGTGAAGAGATAACGAATTACAAGGAGGAAAAAGAAAGTTGGAGGAGTTGAGCCTAACAGTAAAGTTTACAGTATGTGCTTCAGCAAAATACATTGCATAAGACCATTCATGACCCAACTGGCATGAAGCTTACTTTACATTCAAATAATCTTGATTGTTGTGTTTGGAATCATGTAAGCACAGTTGCTTGAATATATATTTGTAAATAATAAATAATTGAGTTTGCTGATTATAAATACTTTGATCAGGACCATGTCTGGCATAAATTGAAGCAGCTCTAACTAAAATACTGTCGTACAACTGTGTTATTATTGAGACATGAGACAATATTAAATCTTTATTTTTAAACATATCACTCATCAGTCATTCATTAAAGACACACAGACAGCTGTGTTGAGTGGTTATATGATACTTCTTTGTCATTCTAAACAAAGGGAATTGTCTTCAAATGCCTTTGTGGCCACTCCTAAAAATATTCTGCTACACAATTGGACAACCAGTTAGTGTGCAGTGCCATCATAAATAACTTCTGCCCCAAGGTCCAACAACACCTGTGCTTCCCAGGCAGACTGCAAGGGTTTGGTGTCACAAAAGCAAGAGCTCCTTTAACCGCTACTGTCACTTAATTCTCCCGGTACAAACAAGCTTTTCTGTCCCAATGAACTATCCTGTAGATTTTGTTTCTTTAATCACTCACAGAAATCTTTTTTTATGGTAAGAACCCTCAGAAAAACCCCTTGTAAAAACCCCTGAATAATCCTGGGAGATGCTTCTCCCTCACACTAAATCTTTTTCCATATTCTAGTAATTGTGCTGCTGGTGCATTAAGTTTGGCTGATTAAAAAAAAGAAATAAAAGCCACTGTACAGTCAAGAAAATCTTTAATTAATTTGTACATATCAGAACAGGTTGTTAATATTTTATGAACTGTTATAAGTTGTCCACCAGATGTTGTCTCTCACTCAGCATTCTCAGACTTAGGACCTAAATTAATCATTAGTGGTGTCAGTCAACACTGATGTGTCTTTCATTGTGAGCTTGGTTCCATTTCAAATAAGCCAGTTAGACTGTACTATGTATGAATGGGCCCTGCTGGCAAGACTAGTCATAAATTTAAAGTGCTATTAGTGCTATTAGGATTCCTATTAATTTATACTGACTGTGACCTCTCTGAACACTCAGAGCACTGGACACTTCAGCCAACAAGTAGCTGCAGAAGAGTACTTGAATTCCTCCAATGGTTTTGAGATTATATTAGGCCAATTGTCATTCCATAACAGTGTGTGTCTCACTGTTACAAATGTCATTGACTCACTGTTAAGTCCTACCATAATTTCAGATAGCAACTTGTCGGTGGTTTCATTTTTACATTCCTTTAAGTGATTTGTGTTAGCTGGATTTACAGATTGCTTCAGTCTATTCGTACCTTAAGTAGCCACGGTCTAAAATCTAGCTGAAAGCCCACTTTATTTGGATTTTGTTTTTTTGTTTTTTCCCTAAGAAATTAATTTGAATGGCTCTCAAACTTTACAATGAATAATCGTCATATGCCATTAATAAGTTCTGTATGTCACCCAAGTTACTAGATGGCCTATGAAACACAATCTACATGCACAATGCACACACTACATACAATTTCAACCCATTTTAGCAAGGCAAGCCTGATTTTCCCAGAATCATTAGTTTTGTGTGTGAATTGTCATGAATAAATGAGATCATTTAAATTGTATTTTAGTTTTTTTTTTGTTTTACATTTGTTTTACATGTGTTCCTTCTTGGCTAATTAATTTACAGAAATAGATTTCAGTGCATCGGTGGATGAATGAATGATATGAGAAATATGAAATGACTGGACTGGCCTATGTAGACTGAAAGAAAAAAGGACCAGTGTTAAATCCAGGATGGATACCCAAAGGCATAAAATGTAGCAATTACTAAAAGCAATTAATTTCAATGACACCAATTTATTTAGCCCATGTCAGAAAAATATGCTCATGTTTTGGCCACCTGATGTAGGCCATGAGGCTGAAACATTAGCATGTTCATCCTGGGTTCAACACTGGAACTAAAGACTTTGGTTTAGCACCACAAACAAAATACTGGGAAGGTGCATCCTCCCTGAGATCTAACTACAATTTGCTGAAAGTCAGATTGCATTCAGATTTTCAAATGGCATTACTATATTATATCATTATTAGCCTTTGACCTGAATATATCATTTAGCCATCAGTATTTTGTGAGTTGTAATGTTGTCAGTGTCAACCAACAGATTGAAAAAGATACCTTTCCAGCATCATGGCTCTTGGCTCTCAGCTTGTTGACCTGGGACCCAGCAATGTTAATACGGTCCTGAGCTTCCTTCATGCTGGACCTTCCTGAGCCTGGACATGTGAGTGTTGGCAGTAGTCATGGCTTTTTATTAGCCCAGATCCAAGTGAAACAGACACACAGTTAATTACTCGTCACTACAAACTTGTTGCACCTCGCGTAACATTAAAAACTTCATTTTCTGATAAGCTGCCAACAGCTTTTGTTGTTGTTGTCCAGCCAGCTAGTGATTGTGTAGTCCACTGTACCAGCATAGTGGACCAGGGAAAAGTGAGCCACTGTCTTGCCCTTTTCAGACTTTGGCTTCTCTTAAAGCCTTTGGTCTTGCCAAGATGCTGATCATGCAGCAAATTCTTGAAAGTTGTGTCAGAGGCCTTGGGGAACATGCACTCCTCTTCAAGGATGGAGAAGATGCCCATTGGCTGAGGAGAAATTTACATTAAATGTAAAAAATTATACTGAGGATGCACATTGTTGGATTGTTGGATTGGATTTGCACATGAATCAAGAAATCACATCTACCAGAGTGGTTACTTTTTACCTTCTCAATAAGCTCAATGCAGGCAGCCAAGTCCATACCAAAGTCAATGAACTCCCATTCAATGCATTCTTTCTTGTACTCCTCTTGCTCCAGGACAAACATGTGTTGGTTGAAGAACTGTTGCAGTTTTTCATTGGTGAAGTTGATGCAGAGTTGCTCCAAACTGTTGAACTGTAATTACAAAAAAGTATTTAAAAAAATAAGGTTGAACTTTAAAACTGCTCATATATTGTTCAACAACTCACATCAAAGATCTCAAATCCAGCAATATCCAGGACACCAATGAAGAACTGCCTTGGCTGTTTAGTGTCCAACATCTGGTTGATACGGATGACCATCCACAAGAACATCCTCTCATAGATGGACTTGGCCAGAGCACTGACAGAATTGTTGACCTAGAAAAAAGGATTTTAGTTTCTCTAATTATATCGAAATGCAAATATTTCCCTTTTTTTAATATAAAAATGTTCCTTTTATTACCTGTGGTACAGTCTGTCCCTTGGTGACCATCTCATTTCCGACCTTCACTCTTGGGTAGCACAGAGCTTTTAGCATATCAGCTGAGTTCAGGCCCAGGAGGTAAGCGATTTTGTCAGCCACTAATGGAAAGAAACAGTACTAAGTAAACATTACCTTGTGTGGTATTTTGCAAACCAGAAAACTTGTATACAGGACACAAAATTAGCGCCAGCCACCAGAAAAATGCTGGTAAAATATACAAGTGGCTAGTAGATTTGCTTCACTCACCAGCCAAATGGCAATTTCAATCTACTGAGTGGCTGGTAAAATTTGAACACTAGCCATTTGGCCTGTGGACAGAAAACTTAATCATGCACCCTGCTTGCATGTTTAGAATGTATTATTTTAGCAATTACCCTCAGTGCCATCAGGTTCAGCCTGCTCCTCATGCTGCTTCTGCTTGAATTTAATGTTGCCATGATGCATCACAGCTCCAGTCAGCTTGAAGATGTTTATCTTCTCCTCAGCAGTGAAGCCCAAAATGTCAATAGCAGTCTACATTACAAAGGAAATTAATTTATATATATTTTGAAAACATTGATTCATTCTTTTAAAAAAAGTGAAGTGTGATCTTACATCTGTTGCAATGAACTCCTCAACATCATCGATGCTTTTGACAGTGATTTCACCCTGACTGATCATTGGGTAGTCATAGGGGTTGGTGGTGATCAGAAGAGCCTCTGAAAGACAAGAAACAAAATACATGAGGTTTTCCTATGATTGTTTCTAGTACTATTACATTGTTACATGACTATTAACTTACCCAAGAGCTCAGGCTTGTGGCCGGTCATCAGCTGATAGAAGATATGGTAGCTCCTCTCAGCAGACAACTGGAAGGTTACACGAGACTTCTCCAGCAGATCTAAGAATAACAAATTCAATTGGAGACTGTAAAATTATGGCATTACAACATTTTGTTAATATTTAAAGCCAATGCATCTTTTACAGCTCCCTTCTTATTGCATTACTTTTAACACCAGTGAATGCAAGTATCTATCCATCTCTTATCTTTACCTTTTCATCCTGCATACGGTTGTGGGAGCTAGTATGGGCACCCACATAGCCACATATATTCCACAAAATCACACACACGCCACAGTTGCATTTAATGGTAGTCAATCTAATCCCTCTGTGTTATTGTAGTTACTGTGTGAATGTATTTAACAACTTGTTGCCCACTGATATATATTTCCTTGCCCACAACGGCTTAAAACTCTGAATGTCAAGTCAAGTTGGTGTCATTAGCCCAATATCACAAACACAAGGCTTTCCAATCTGTATAGCATATGTCACCCTCCATTCTTAGACCCTCAATTCATGAAACCCCCACCCAAAAAAGACTTTAATGGGGGGAAAAAATTGAAGACTCTTCAGGAAGAGCAACAAAGGAGGCATCCATTTGCCAAGACAGACAATAGATGTAATGTGTAAAAATCTGAATTACTATGGACAACCAAGATGAAAACAAATTTGATAGATAAAATAAATTAATATTGAATAAAAGGTTATTCTTTTAGATACATAAGTTGCAGTCATTCTCATTCATCCTTAATACAACTTAACTTATGTCATGGTTAAAACTTACATGTTTCAATATCAGCTGAAGCCAGTTTTCCAGTACTGCCAAAGTGGATCCTGATGAATTTACCCTAGACAGCCAGATCATTATTAACATTCCATTTTATAATAGAGCAATTAGAAAGAATAGAATCTGAATCCGGGGAAATGATCACTTACAAAACGAGAGGAGTTGTCATTCCTCACAGTCTTGGCATTACCATAGGCCTCCAGCAGAGGGTTGGCCGCAACAATTTGGTCCTCAAGGGAGCCCTGCAAGAGAAGATTGTAGTTACATCAACTGAGCATCCAAAACAACCTTCCTCTCACAAACAGTTTTATCCTACCAACCAATCAATTTTACCTGCATTTTGCCAGGTGTTGGCTCAGCCTTCTTAGATCCAAGAGCTGCAATTGTTGCAAAGTACTGGATAACACGCTTGGTGTTGACAGTCTTTCCTGCACCAGATTCTCCACTGGGGTATGAGAGACACATTATCAAGATTCTGCTTCATTATCATAAAGTTTATAAAGATTTAGCACAATAGTTTGTTTTATACTCACGTAATCAGGATTGACTGGTTCTCACGATCTGAAATACAAACATGCTTTACATGAGTTCCATTTTTACTTTCCTTTCAGTAAGTTTTTGTTTAAGGTAAATTTTTACCTCTGTGTATTTAAATCTTACCACCAGTAGCATTGGTCTTACCAGTGAGCATGAACTGATAGCCATTGTCAGAGATGGAGAAGATGTGGGGTGGAGCCTCAATCCGCTTCTTGCCTCTGTATGCTCAGACAACCTGAGCATCGTACACAGGAAGCCACTTGTAGGGGTTCACAACAACGCAAAACAGCCCAGAGTAGGTCTGTAATAGTAGAGAGCATAAACATATTGTTACCATTTAGATACACATATATACATATTCACATACATTAGGATTAGTATAGTACAGTGGAAACTCACGTAGATCATCCATGATGCGCAATGCTCTTTGAGGTTATACAACACAGACGGCTCATTGAGATGGGTCATCATGGCCATGTCCTCAATTTTGTCATACTTAGTTTGGAGGGTTCCTGGGATGATGTCATCCTCTTTTACAGTGACCGTCTGAATATAAAGTACAGTAAAATGTTTGGACTAAGAAATAATTTCAAATGCAAAGGTCAATCAGATGGATGTTGTTGTTGTTCTTAGTCAGTTTAAATTTAAAATACAATGATAAACAAATAGTTTACCAAATGTTACATGTGCCCCCTGGGACATCCACTTCAGCCACCTGTCTGATCTCTCTCTCTCTCTTTCTCTTCATGTACTCTGGCGATGTCCACACTGCCAGATCGTAGTCTCTGCTAACTTTTACAGCTTGTTCACATCGCCCGCGTTTGTGTGAGTCTCCCAGCAAAAGAGCACAGTGAAAGTATCTCTTGCTAGTCAAATCCACATGTTTCACTACAGTTTAAAATTCCCTTTTTTTTGTGAAAGAATTTGTGGAAGTGAGCTGGATAAAGAGCAGTCTTTCTCTCTGGTAAACAAACCACAAAACTGTTTTCTGGTTGCCACTCTTCACATTTATGTTTAAACTATATAGCATTGTAAATTAAATTATATGAAAAATTTTATTTTAGCGTGGACATTGCTATGCTCAGCCTGTTAGTTGTGGTTAACTAGCCTTTGGTAATCTGTCTAATTCTGTAATTAATTTTCCCCTTCCAGCTTTGCCAGCCCTGACTACACAACTCTGCTTCTCTTTGGACTCTGAATCAGCACCCTCAGACTCCCTCTACCCAGCTCAGACCCTTACCATCAGCTTCCCCTCACCCATCCTCAGACTTGTTTTTATAATAAATACCCTAGTACTTCACTACTGCCTCCCTCTCTGTGTCTGCACCAGGGTTCACTAGGATAACTAACTAACTAACTAAGATATTGTTTTAAATAAAAATTTATGTTATCCTATACAGAAAGGTTCTTAAATAAAAAATTTATTTGGTAGTGAATCACTTACCTTTCCAGTAACTGTCTCCACTGTGGCTTTGCCACCTTCTTTCTTCACAAGTTTACCCTTGAGGTACATCTCATCTGCATCAACCACAAAGAAGAATGTTTTGGCATCAAATGGAGTGATTTGTGCCTCAATCCTCTCCTTCTCTGGCTTCCGGAGGTAGATGGCTGCCGGGCCATAGGCCTCCATCTCTGCATCTGTGCTCATGTTGACACTTTAGGGGAGACTGAAAAGATGAAGAGTCCACAATAGTGTTAACATGGTCTTATATCAAGCTGATGGTGGAGATTTCATGTTTTTTTATGGGAACATCTTTTACCTGAGCTTGTTCTGAAAAAGAATGAGTAGAGTCTCTGATGGAGTCACAAGATGCTATAAAAAAAAAATTGAAACACATTGAGTACAATATCTTAAGTTTGTTATTCCAATTTCACATTTTAGTTCAGTGAATTTGAGAACAGTAGTGGGTAAAAGTGGCAAAATGTCCTATGACTTAAATAATATATGCTAACTGCATTCAGCTGAATTTAAAAGTTCAGCACACTCCCATCCGCTCAACTTCCCTTAAAACCAGATATATAGTATTGCCCTTAATGATTGTTTAGTGTATAAATGTAATGAGACAGGGTGTGTAGTAGATGTCAGCAAAAATTAACAATTGTGTGTTTTTTTTCTTTCTTT